GCCCGGAACTCGAACCATGGTCAGCCACCGGGGAGTCCAGCGCCTTACCACCACGCCACCTGCTGGCCCCGTTATTTCACTCTCGTGGGCACATTTAGCTTTTCACTCTGAACGGCATTGTAATAAATACCCTTGCCAGTGCTTGTCCTACTTGTGCTTTTATTTCTAAGGAATAGACTCTCAGATACAAGACTGTTCAGTGGAAAGGAATTTTTAATTTGACTAAGTACTGCTAGGGTTAATTCACACTTCAGCCGGCAGTATATGCCAAGACCCGGGTCTTTTCCAGCAATTGGTATTATACACTTGTGAATAGTTGCCAATCTAATGTTTATACATATTTCCTTGTTTAATTTGTATCTTTCTTTGTTTATTGATAAGTTTAAGTATCTTCTCCCGACGTGTGGTCACTTTGGACTTGTTCTGTAAAAACTACTTATTTATGGATATTGCCTATTTTTCTATAGGGCTTTTTGTTATCTGTGAGAGCTCTTTTTTGTTCAAATATTACCCTTCTGAGGTCAGCAGGTGGCGTGGTTGTTAAGGCACTGGACTCCCACATGGTCGACAGTGGTTCGAGTCCCAGGCCTGGTCATTTGCTTTCTCCCTTTCCCTTTCTGTCTCTCTCTGTCTCTGGTCAATTTAGAAAAAATAATAATTGGGCCAGCAGATGGCGTACTGGTTACGTCACTGGATTCCTACATGGCCGATCACGGTTCAAGTCCTGCACTGAGTAGCTTAAAAATCACAGTGCATATGTGTGCATGTCAAGCTCCCAGGAGGAGAATGGAGGAGAAGGGACTGTGGCACAACCACCCCCTGGGATGCCTATTTTCCTAAAGGGTTTTATTATTTGTGAGAGTTCCTTTTTATTAAAATATTACCCTTCTGGGGACCAGCAGATAGCATAAGGGTTATGCCGCTGGACATCGCGGTTTGAGTCCCTGACCCGGTGGCTTAAACTCACGCTGGGCGTGTGTGCGTGCGTGCCCAAGATCCCGAGATGAGAATGGAGGAGAAGGGATTGCGGTGTGACCATCCCCCCTGGGGGGTGATTTCTCGCTTTCTGTCTCTCTGTCTCTGTCTTTCCAGCAAGTGCACACACCCTATAGAAAAAACCTTCCCCCCCCCAAAAAAAATTACCCTTCTGGGGCCAGATACCTTTCCGATTTCTCACTTTCTCTCACTGTCTCTGTCTCTCTCTCTTTCTCTGGCAAGCACATACACCCTCTGTCAAAAACCTCTTTAAAATAATAATAATTACTCTTAAAATAAAATAATGTTTAGGGACCAGCAGTTAGCATAATGGCTATGTCGCTGGACTCCCATGTAGTCGACTGCGGTTCGAGTCCCGGACCCGGTGGCTTAAAATCACACTGGGTGCGTGTGCGTGTGTGCCCAGGATCCTGAGAGGAGAATGGAGGAGAAAGGGTTGCAGCGTGGCCATCCCCCCTGGGGGTGACTTCTCACTTTCTGTCTCTCTGTCTCTCTCTTTCTGGCACACACACACACCTTATAGCAAAAAACTCTCCCAAAATAAATAAATAAAATAATGTTTAAAATTATTACCCTTTTGTCTTTATGCTGAAGGTATTTTCTGCTTTTATAAACTTTGTCGATGGAGTTCCTAACTGCAGTAATATTTAAATTTATGTGTAGCCAGATCTGTCTGTCTGCTCTTTTACAGCTTCTGGGTGTCCAGCCTTGGCTGAGAAGGCTTCCCCACCCTCGGGTGCACATGTGGTCTCCTAGATTCTCATTCAGGACTTGTATGGCTTTAAGGTGTTAATTCCTGTTTACGTCCCTGCATGCAGTGTAAGAGCCATCGGCTTCGCCGTCTCTCGGACGGGTGCTAATTATGCCGGCACCATATTAAATCCCCTCATCTTTTACTCCTGGAATGGAACCTCCGATGGCATCAATTTTTCTTTTTCAGTAGTGCACATGTTCTTGCCGGGGCGGGGGGATGTGAGAAATTACCCTCCCCCCGAGAGGGGTTGGCCATACAACAGTCCCTCCTCCAATCTCCTCTCAGGATTTTGGGCATGCACACACACACGCCAAGCATGATTTTCTTTTTAAAATTATTTTATTTAACTTATTTATTTGATCAGAGAAGAGAGAGAAAGTGAGAAAGCAAACCACCTGCTCCAGGACTTGAACTGTGGTCGCACATGTGAGAGTCCAGCACCCTTAAACACCACACCACCTGCCAGCCCCCACCCAGCATATATTCAAGCTGCTAGGTCCAAGACTCGAACCACAAAGTCTGCCCTATGGGATCCAGAGGCTTCAGCCACTGGCTGGCCCCAGAATGTTATATTTTCATATTGATTATTTCTAAGAATTTAAAAAGGCAAAAAGAGAGTTGGTACCAGCAGGTTACGCACCATGGTCATGGTTTTATGTCCCGCCTGGTGACTGCAGGCCACATCGCGGGGCTGCGTGAGGCTCCCTTTCAGCTTGTCCCTGCTTCCCTTTCAGGCACTGCTGGCCGACGAGGGCTTAGCCCCAGCTCCCACTGCAGGACCAGTGAAAGAGGAGAAGCTCCTGCTTGGGGAAGGGCTGTCTCCCCTGCTCCCCGCTCAGTCCATCAAGGAGGAGGACACCCAGCCTGGGGAGGAGACGCCCCATGCAGGGAGACCTATCAAAGTCGAGAGCCCCCACTTGGAAGAGTGGCCCTCACCGGTCCTGGTCCCGTCTTTCAAAGAGGAGCCGCCTCACTCCTGGGAGGAGTCCTCCCACTCTCCTACCCTGAGGCCCAGGAAGTCCCCATCCCGGTGTGTCTCTGAAATGCTCGTGATGAAACAGAAGAGGAGGGAGACGAGCCGGTCTCGAAGGAAACAGCATCTCCTGCCTCCCTGTGTGGACGAGCCCGAGCTGCTCTTCGCGGAGGTCCCCGAGACTTTGCGCCGAGCCCCAGAGCTCCCGTTCCTGGCAGACCCCTCGGAGCCTGCCGCCCAGCTTGGACACACCCAGGTGGAGGGAGGACCTTTTAAGACCCCCGTTAAGGAGGCGTTGCCCATCTCCTCCACCCCAAGCAAATCTGTTCTTCCCAGAACTCCTGAGTCCTGGAGGCTCACACCCCCAGCCAAAGTGGAGGCCCTGGACTTCAGCCCAGTACGAGCCCCCCAGGGTACGTCTGGCCCCCTGCCTGACTCCCTGGGGCTGATGGAGCTCAGCACCACCCCACTGAAGAGTGTTCCTCTCTTCGACTCACCCCGAGAGCTCCTCAACTCAGAGCCCTTCGACCTCGCCTCTGACCCCTTTAGCAGTTCTTCTCCCCCAGACATGGAAGGCCCCAAGCCAGGCTCCCCAGAGCCACAGGCTCCCAGCCTCTTGGCCAATCGCTCTCTGACAGAAGGCCTGGTTCTGGACACCATGAATGACAGCCTCAGCAAGGTCCTGCTGGACATCAGCTTCCCCGGCCTGGAGGAGGACCCCCTGGGGCCCGACATCAACTGGTCTCAGTTCATCCCTGAGCTGCGGTAGAGACCCAGCCTTACCCCTGCCGCTCTGGCTGTCCTGGGCACCCATGGGAGCATCTTGGGCTCCGTGTGCCCCGAGGTCCTGAGCGAGGACAGCTGGCAGGGTCAGGTCTGCTCCTCTTCTCTCCACCCCACCTGATTGCCAGGCCGCAGCCGCACCTAGCAGCTCCCAGGTCCTGGGCCAGCAGTGGGGTCTGGGCTGCCTTCTGTTCCCCGGGAGCATCTGGTTGCTCTCCCTGCCGGGAGCTGAAGGGTGGGGACGGTAAAAGCAACAGTGAAAAGAGATTGGGGACTCCCCAGGAGGTCTCATTCCGCGCCCAGCAGGCTCTGCTCCTTGCTGGGGAACCCTTGTAAATACTGTAAATTCTCTCAGTTGTTTTCTAAATCTAATGTAAGCTTGTGTCCTTAGAGCTCCTCCGGGACTGCGGAAGGTAGGAGGTAGGCAGGAGGCGAGGGGCTTCCGTCTGTGGTTCAGTGTGAAGAAGGGGGTCCTGCAGTGCACGCTTCCTCTGGGCCCAGGGCACGCGGCTCCCAGCCTCTACCCCAGGCACCCAGGCAAATGGATCTGCTTGCTAGGCTCGCTCACTGTCCTCCCTCCCACTTCCCCATGTTTCCAGGTCAGCTGGAAATCCTGCAAGAAATCCTGGTTAAGAGTTGAGTCCAGGGTGTGCTCCCAGGAAATGTTCTCTGATCGTACCGAGACCAGCAGGCAGCTCGGGTAGGGGCTGGAGAAGGCTGAAGGGCCCTGACCCGCCTGACTGGCCTGGCTCCCACCTTGGCTTTGCAGAGAGACCTCAGCCCTGGCAGGCCGCACGCATGAGCCCGCGGCAGGACACTACCTACTGTACTACCTGCTCAATAAAACCAGGCTGGGGATGCTCTGTGGTCTGCTGCTGTCTGCTCCCTAGGCCTGGGGACGGGGTGGGAAAGGAAGAGGGTGATTATGGGGGCAGGTCACAGGGGGCAAGGGCTGAGGAAGTCCCTAGAGGACACTGCCCCTGGGGGTGGGAGGCAGGGAGTTTGGCATGAATCTCCTCCCATGCTGCACAAACCCATGTCCTTTTCTGAGACCAGTTGCCAGTTTTCCCAGGGGCTGGGCCTGCCTAGCCACCTTGTCTCCCTGCTGTCTTGTTCCTTGGGACCTCTGGGTGCTCCTGTGGAAGAGAACCCCCCACGAGGGGCAGGCCTGCTAGAACACCAGGGGAGGGTGGGCCGGCTGTAGGTGTCAGGCACACCACCCTGAGTTGATGGGGCCTGGAGGCCATTCTGCCCTGCCCAGCGGAGGCTCCTAGAGCCACCCTTTGTCGTCAGAATGTGTGAGAGCCCAGCCCCTGCCTTTCTCACCTGAAGGGCAGTGGGAGGCCCAGGGACTGAAGAGCCCCAGGGACAGGTAAGGGCCTCCTCCCTGCCTCTCTGCTCAGGAAGCATCACCATAGCAACCCCAGCAGCAAACAATGGTGCCAGGAAGGGCTTCCCCACAAAGCCTGTGCTCCTGGCTCGGAGGCCCAGCCGGAGAATGGCCTGTCACCAGCAGAGGTTGCTCAGGGGACGGGGTGACTCGCACCGCAGAGAACCACTCCTGCAGGTAGGGGCCGGACCATCTCCAGGGACCTTTTCTTGTTCACGGCACGAGGCTTTCCCCTTGACAGGCCATGCTTACTGGGACTGCAGACGCCCTGGCAGTGAAGTCCCCACCGCCTTCCCCGGTAGGCCCGCCATGCTGAGAGCGATGCTGGGAGCAGGGAGCTCAGGATGAGAGGCTTCCGCAGGCAGGGCCACCCTCCCAGCTCACCTGCTGGGGGGCTCGTGGAGACAAGGCAGGAGGGTGCGGCCGGAACACGCGGTGCCCTGAAAGGCTGCTTTCATGCAAAGGCTCCTGGTTCATGCCCAGAGAACTCCGAGTGCATATGTCTTGGGACGTCCACGACCCAGGGCTGGCCGGGGCTTGGGACGGGCTGGACTGCAGCCCCCTGTGGGGGCTACGGTGTCTCTCCCACGGAATGGGTAAGTAAGTTTAGGGTGTTCTGTTTTGCTGTAGGGTGCATGTGCTCATTGGAGAGACGGAGAGAGAAGTCAGAACGCACTCCCCAGGGGGCTGGCCATGCCACAGTCCCTTTTCTTCCATTCTCCTTTAGGGATTTTGGGCACGCACGCACACACATGCACATGCACACATGCCTGACGTGTTTTTCAAGCCCAAGTCAGCCATGTAGGGTCCAGCCACCTTAACTACCAGGCCATCTAGCTGGGCCATAAGTAGATTTTTTCAAACAAAGAAATTACTCAGGGGACCAGGCCCCCCAGTCACTTTTGGGGGATGGGAGATTTGGAATTCCGGGTCCTAGGGAGCAGAGGAGGGAGAAGCATTTTAAAACAGATATGTGGTTGCCCCAGCAGGGCCACAGCCTGGCCACGCCAAGACCACCTCCCACAGCCTGACGTGCCCGGCAGGCAGCACCAGGCCCTGCCGTGGGCACTTCGCGTCTGCATCTTCCAGCCCGTTCTAGAGTGACTCTTGCTCCCAGGGCTGCGAGGGTTACAGGTGGTGTGGGGGCGTCCTGAGCCCTGTCCTGAGCCCCACCGTGGGGCAGGGCACAGGGAGGGCAGGAGCCGGCATGCTGGAGCCTCTCGCACCCATCAGTACTGAGGGGCAGGCCCCAAGGCCAGATGGCCGATCAGGAGCCAGGCTGGAAGACACCTGGGAAGGGCTTTCCTGCGGTGTCACCAGGACCAGAAGCAAGTGAAGACGGGCTCTTGCCCTGTCCCTGTCCCTCCCGATTCCCTCAGGCTTGCGGGACCTTCTGGGGGGGGGGTCACCAGAGTGGAGATGGGAGGAGACAGGTGAAGGCTGAGCGTGGGAGGCCATCAGAGCCCAACGTGGCCGTGGAGAACAGAAGGCGGGCGCTGCCTGGGAGTAACCGAAGCCGCCAGTGTCCGAGGGAGGACAGCAGCGGTGAAGAGGGGAGGGTGACGCTGGCCTACGCCTCCACCCAGGGAGGGACAGGCCGCCTCCCCCACCTGCCCGCGCCCCCGCCCACGCAGCTGTCCCCAGGCTTCCTTCTGTCTCTCCCTAGATGGTCCATGCCGAGGAGTCCCTCCCCACCAACATGACGCGGGCAGAGCGCGAGTTCTTCCTCCCCGGCCAGCCCGTGGAGCTGCCCGGCTTCACCTGGCAGGCCTACCACCATCTGGCCCTGAAGCCGCCACCCTGCACGGAAGTGAAGTCTGAGGTGCGCCACCGGCTGGTGCACCCTTTCAGGAGTGCCCCCCAGCACACCTGGGGCTTCCACACCTGGCTGGACGTGGGGCGGCTGCCTGCTGCCTTCCCCGCGCGCCCGGACAAGCCCTACGACAGCAACGTCTGGCGCTGGCTGACCAACCCCCAGGCCCACCGCGGCCCGCTGGCAGACCCTCCCGTCCCCCCGCCGTCCCGCATGGGGCCCAACAGCTTCCTGGCCTTCATCCGCTCTACCCCCATCTTCCTGGACTCCAGCAGGAAGAACCAGGCGATTTTCAAAGTGGAGGAGGAGCTGAAGCTGGTGGAGAAGCTCAAGCTGAGGAGTGAAGCCAGGGCACCCCCGCTCGACGCCCACGGCAACATCTTGCCCCCCCCTAACTTCAGGAAGTAAGGAGAGCCCCTTCCTCAGGGAGCGCACCAGCCTGCCTGTGCTCAGGTGACCCCTCCTCTCTGACTCCTGGCTCTGAGGTCTAGGCTGGTACCCTAACCTGGCCCTCTGTCATCTGAAAACCGCGCTCTCCTAGGGCATAGCTAGAGGGCAGGACAGAGGCGGGGAGGACAGCGAGTGGAGGCACTTAATTATTCAGCCAAGAGCTGGGGCCCGACAGATGGCACGGTGCTTAAGGTGCTGGAACCCACTGTATGGTTCAAGTTGAACCGTGGTCAACTACATGGGAGTCTGGTGACATAGCCATTACGCTAACTGCTGGTCCCCTAGAAAGAGCGATTCTTAGGCAAGGTTTCACTGAGAACGCATTATGTGAACTGTACCTTGAAAAAGGCATGCAAGCTCACCAGTGGGAGCAAGAAAGAGCGATGAGAGAAATACCTCTAGTCCCGTTGTTCCTTTCGGCAGCTTTGTCAGGCTTTTAAAAATCGTTAAACGTGACTGTGGGCTAGTCAGCATGCACATTTGGAGCCCTGGGGATCAGAGGGCTTCAGACACCTTAGAGATCTAAGCTTTAAGGTCTTCAGGATGTTGTTGGGGAAATAGAACATTTATGTATAAACCTACCAGTTCTCAATACTGGCAGCCCGATAGAATAACCTGGAGCTCTTAAGAAAATACTGAGGTTGGGACCAGGAGTTAGCATAATGGCTGTGTCACTGGACTCCCATGTAGTCGACTGCAGTTCAAGTCCCGGACCTGGTGGCTTAAACTCACATCGGGCGCGTGTGCGTGTGTGTCCAAGAACCCGAGAGGAGAATGGAGGAGAAGGCATTGTGGTGTGGCCATCCCCCCAGGGGGTGATTTGTCGCTTTCTGTCTCTCTCTGTCTTTCTGGAGAGCACACGTGCCCTATAGCAAAAGCCTGTCCAAATAAATAAGAAAACAGGGGTGGAAGAGCAGAAAATTGCCACTATTCAACTCACGAACTAAGGCCACATCCTGCTGCTCAGCCCAGGGCGATAGGTCTGCAGGCAAAGGGAGTCACCCAGTGCTGCTGACTGGGGGTCTTCCCACCAGCACTACATAAAGGGGGGGAGCTGGGGCTTGGAGGACAGTGGGACTCTGGATAGAAATATGGAGAATGACAGTATGTACACGCTGTCAAAAGAACATAGGTTTATAAAAAATATTTATTTATTTAATTTGTTATTATTGGTTTAAGTTTGCTTCAGGGCACGTGTGCTCGCCAGAGACAGAGAGGGGAAGGGAAGTGAGAAAGCAAGCTGCCAGGTCTGGAACTTGAACCGCGGTCAGCCACCTGGGGGTTCAACACCTTAACCACCACACCAAGGTGCTGGCCCCAAGGATGGAAGTTAGGCTAGCTAAACACACACGGAGGGTGGTGGCCACTTGGCCAAGTCGGTATCCGATTAGGCATAGCTAGAGGGCAGGACAGAGGCGGGGAGGACAGCGAGTGGAGGCACTTAATTATTCAGCCAAGAGCTGGGGCCCGACAGATGGCACGGTGCTTAAGGTGCTGGAACCCACTGTATGGTTCAAGTTGAACCGTGGTCAACTACATGGGAGTCTGGTGACATAGCCATTACGCTAACTGCTGGTCCCCTAGAAAGAGCGATTCTTAGGCAAGGTTTCACTGAGAACGCATTATGTGAACTGTACCTTGAAAAAGGCATGCAAGCTCACCAGTGGGAGCAAGAAAGAGCGATGAGAGAAATACCTCTAGTCCCGTTGTTCCTTTCGGCAGCTTTGTCAGGCTTTTAAAAATCGTTAAACGTGACTGTGGGCTAGTCAGCATGCACATTTGGAGCCCTGGGGATCAGAGGGCTTCAGACACCTTAGAGATCTAAGCTTTAAGGTCTTCAGGATGTTGTTGGGGAAATAGAACATTTATGTATAAACCTACCAGTTCTCAATACTGGCAGCCCGATAGAATAACCTGGAGCTCTTAAGAAAATACTGAGGTTGGGACCAGGAGTTAGCATAATGGCTGTGTCACTGGACTCCCATGTAGTCGACTGCAGTTCAAGTCCCGGACCTGGTGGCTTAAACTCACATCGGGCGCGTGGGCGTGTGTGTCCAAGAACCCGAGAGGAGAATGGAGGAGAAGGCATTGTGGTGTGGCCATCCCCCCAGGGGGTGATTTGTCGCTTTCTGTCTCTCTCTGTCTTTCTGGAGAGCACACGTGCCCTATAGCAAAAGCCTGTCCAAATAAATAAGAAAACAGGGGTGGAAGAGCAGAAAATTGCCACTATTCAACTCACGAACTAAGGCCACATCCTGCTGCTCAGCCCAGGGCGATAGGTCTGCAGGCAAAGGGAGTCACCCAGTGCTGCTGACTGGGGGTCTTCCCACCAGCACTACATAAAGGGGGGGAGCTGGGGCTTGGAGGACAGTGGGACTCTGGATAGAAATATGGAGAATGACAGTATGTACACGCTGTCAAAAGAACATAGGTTTATAAAAAATATTTATTTATTTAATTTGTTATTATTGGTTTAAGTTTGCTTCAGGGCACGTGTGCTCGCCAGAGACAGAGAGGGGAAGGGAAGTGAGAAAGCAAGCTGCCAGGTCTGGAACTTGAACCGCGGTCAGCCACCTGGGGGTTCAACACCTTAACCACCACACCAAGGTGCTGGCCCCAAGGATGGAAGTTAGGCTAGCTAAACACACACGGAGGGTGGTGGCCACTTGGCCAAGTCGGTATCCGATTAGGAAGAGTGGAGAAAGGGGCTCCCTGCAGCCAACTAGCTGGCCTATAGGAGGCAGTATCTCTCATTCCTTCTGCACCCCTCCCTACCATGCCCAGATCTCACCTTTGATCTCTGTTCTCCCTGCACACCCTCCCCCC